CCTGCTGTTGAGGTGGCATAGGGTAAGGAATCTGGCCAGGAGAAGGCACTGGCGTAGGAAGCATGCTTCCCGTCGTCCCCTGCTGCTCAAGTGGCACTGAGGAAGGCTTATAGACACTCGCGTTGCCAGAAAACGCAAAACCGCGAGGATCTATACTCATCTGCGTCTGCCAAGAACCATGATCCGGACGCTGTATCCCAGGAATCACCGCCCCATTACAATGGAAAGCGGGCTGACGATTAGCAGCAACCAAGGCAGGAGCGCCCATACCATATGCGCTTCGCCCATTGGCCTGGAATTCCTGTTGATGAGGTACATGGGCCATTGGTGAAAAAGCGCATGGTTGATCAAGCTTTGGCTGAGGAGGCTTCGGTAGAAGTTTTCGCAAACGACGGGGCTCCTCAGACTTCGCTTCCTTGGTCGCGGGCTGGCGTTTTCTCCTGCCAGGTCGCTTTGCAGCTCGAGACTCGGGTTCAGATGCCCTCGTTCTCTTTACACCCCGAGCCTTGGCCTGAGGTATGGGTTTGACCTCAGGTGTGGCACTTGGAGCATGAGGGGAGCTCTGCTCTTGAGGTGGGCTCTGTTCTTGAGAGGAATTCTGCTCTTGAGGAGGGTTCTGCATGTTGGTACCGGCATCCATCTGTTGGGCAGCCAAATCATCAGCCCAGAATTGACCGATACCTCGTTGTAGGCAGTCGATAGTTTCCTCACGACTGTACGTCGATGGGTTGGTGAAGATTTCCTCTGGCGAGAAGAGAGGCAACGTGATGGGGTGGTCATCTATGGAAATGTGCAGGGCATTGCCGTTTTCGACGCCGAAACTGCGGATAACATCGTTGCTCAATTGGTCCCGTAGGTCTTGAGACTCTGAATTAACTTTGTCAGTTGTAGTCGGCAAGAGTGTAGGTCGAAAATTAACAAACTTACCTAGTTCACCTATAGAGGCAGCCGGTAGTGTACCAAGTGCCGCTTCTGATTCCATGATTATTGATGCTGACATTGATATCGATATCGATGGATTTGCCAAAGCCAATGATGATAAACTCGCCAAAACGATGATATGATAGGAGAAACAAGAGGAACAAAAAAGGGTGATCAAGCCCCTTCTTATACCTCATTGGTTTCGCAGGTACGGAGCAGTCTCTCCTTCGTTCTTGCAGGATAGAGTCTCATACTTGCCGATTAGAGTGTGAACGCAGCCTCAACACCACAATCTTCACCCAGTAACCGTGAAGATGCAAAATCCCACGGCCAATCGCGCAACTTGAAGAGAAAACGCACGAAAGCTAAACAATTCTCTGTGCCTGAACAAATCCATTATCTTCACGCTCTGCCGAAGGCGCAGGTGATTGAGCGTCCAAAGAGGGCTCCGGATCCTGAATCAAGCTTTGCTGTTGCCTCTCCACGTGCCTCCTCCAAGGTTTATATGCGAATATTGATCCGAGACCCACGATAAGGAACACACCACAGATGCTACCTCCGACAATGTCAAAGTGGTCGCCGATTGAGGAAACGACGTCCCAGAACCGCCCCTGAGGGTCTGCGACGTTCTGTATTAGGGAGAGAACCTGGACGATGCCGATGAATGCCGAGACCACGACTGTAATTCCTGTGAGGACGATGGAATAGTACAGGATAGCAACCACGTCTCTTGAGAACGCTTTCGACGTGTACAGGGCCATCATGAGGGCTCCGTCCGTGGTGTCGAGCATGCACATGCCAGCTATCGTGCGTGAGTAAACCTCCAACTCCAATGAAGATACATCGCCACTCACCTGTGAAAAGAATCGGAAAGATTAAAATTAACCAGATACTCGTACCTTGTACTGCCTGAATGCTCGCAATCCCCAGTATCGCAATCTCCGAGCTTGTATCGAACCCAAGACCAAAAACTACACCGAGGGGGTACATTTTCCACGGCCTGTCGATAACACGAAATAGCCTTTTGAACACACGCGTCAAGAAGCCTCCTCCCTCCAGAGCAAAGTGATCCTGTATCTGCGTCTCCTCTTCGACAAATCCTTCAAGTCGGACTTGGTCTCTCCGCTCTTGCAGAATTGCTTGTAAGCGCTGAATGAGCTTGTACAGAACCCAGCCATTTCCTATACAAAGAATTATAAGGAATGCGGCACTGACGCTCGTGCCAACTATATTTCCCACGTGCTGAAACCCGTCAAACCTTTCCCTCAAAGCGCCACTCGTGGCTGCGACGACGATGCATGTTACTATGACGATGGTGCTGTGCCCCAATGAAAAGAATGTCCCCACTGTCGCAGGCCGTTGACCTGATGCTATGAGACGACGTGTCATCAGATCAATAGCCGCGATGTGGTCTGCGTCCAAAGCATGGCGAAGACCAAGGACGTAGGAGAGGGCAGCTGGCGAGATGAGGCGTGGATGGAAGTGCAGAACAATGCCTGCAGCGATCCATACCAGGCCATTGACGGCGATGAGAGTCGCTATAGCAAAGATACTATTGTTCGGTATTCCATTGAGAAACTTGGGTTTGCCGAGGGTTTGAATGCGAGGTATGGTGAAGCGAGGCATAGTGAAAGCTAGATGGTGAATGAGTTGGTAGCAAAGTGATGATACAAACGATGGTGTTGAGCTCACCAAAAACAATCACTGACAAAGAATCACAGAAACAGCAATGAGAGAGCACAAAGAAGAAGCTGTGAATAAAAGAAAAAGGGCTGATATTTTCCTAACCCCACAAACATTCTAGACCATCACAGGTCGTCGTCTTAGCATCATCAAAAGCCGGCGGGCCGTAGTGTAGTAGTGCGGGGTGGGTCAAGCCTTGGCCGCCGGCCGCCGATGTTATCTCGGTGCGGGGTGAATCTGCGTCTGCATTATCGCATCCATTCTGATGAGTAATGCTCAAACAATTGGACAAGTTCCGTGTAAGTCTCTTGTATGCTTATTGGCCAGACAAGTTGAAGCTCTTCTCAAACGTATCCTCATCCTCCTCTGCGACTTCAAAGTCGAAGCGCGTTACGTCTTCTGCAAAGGGCCAGAGATATTGACTTGTAACCCTGTGACTCATCAGTTTCTGTTCTTTTGGACAATCGGGAGGTGGGTTCACCTGTGATGTTCAGTACTCGCCTGATACGCCGCCAGCGCAGCTTTATCGTGGTGGAAACTCAACAGACATATCTGAAAACCTTTACTCCTCGCAATCGGATCCGTAATAGATGGACCACCCACGACAAGACGCTCATCTTTGACGCATGATAATTTCTTGAGGGTTTTGAGTTCTTTGACAAACTTGTCGCGATGTGACTCGTCGACATCGGAGCGAAACTTAAAGAGGACTGTGACACGTAAGTAAGAGGGGGAATAACTATTGAGTGGAGAGAGGGGACGCACCAATATGAACGACTGTCATTGTGAAATGAGTGAGTGATGATTTACCAATGGTTTATCGATCTGGTGGTGGTGATGGTTGGGACCGTTTAAATGGATCGGGACGGACTCGGCTTGATAACACCAACGGACGGGCTTGCGCCGCCTGTGGACCGAGAAACGGGGGAAAGCCGCCTACGCAATTCCGTCGGTGTACACACGGAATCGGTAAGCAACTCCCGGAGACGGTAAATTATAATTTATCTGAAGAAGCTGAAGCTATCCAAGGCCGATTAGATCACAGTTGGTGTAAGTGTAACGGTAGGTAATGCAGCCAACTCACCAACACGCAGAATTGGAGACCTCGAGTTTGGCATCTTCAGATATTGCAAATATTCTCACCCTCATTAATAAATTATTTTATTTTGAGTATTCTGCCCTGAGCCTCGAAATTCTATCCGTATCCACGGCCTTCTTTTCTGTTCAAACAATGGCTGTCATTTGACATAGGCACGGGAATACTTGCAAGAGACACCGAAACTTTCAGACATTTGTGCACCAATACAAACAAGATAGACCAGCATGATACACGTAGTCAACAGGCTCATTGGATAAGGCGTTCTCACATCTCGGTCATCATGTAGTTTCGGTGGCTGAGCCAGATACCCCATTGCAGCCTGATTATCTACATGACTCAAGAGCTACAAACTTCATCTTAACTCAAATTGATCTTATCAAAACTCAACCGAAGATCACAAAAAGTTACTTTCCACACTTCACATGGCCCCCCTCATCCTAAGCCCTCCCCGTCGAGCTCGTTATCCCCCCATCAACCACAATCTTCTGCCCAGTGACATATCTCGCCTCATCAGCCGCCAAAAACACAACCGCACTCGCAACATCCCACGCATCCCCCATCCTCCCCATCGGAACCTGCTCCTCCCTCGTCCTGCAGAACTCCTCATACCCCTTCCCAAACCTCTCCGCCAGACTCCGCGTGTACGGCGTGTTCATCAGCCCAGGCACCACGGCGTTTAAGCGCACGCCTTTGGAGGCGTAGATTATCGCTGTGGCTTTGACGAACTGGAGAATTGCGGCTTTGGCCGTGTTGTAGGCTACTTGCGGTTTGCCGATGTATCGGAGTCCTGCGATGCTGGAGATGCAGATTATTGAACCGCTTTTTTGAGATTCCATTATTGGGAGGACGTGGTGGCAGGCCAGGTAGACGCTCTTGAGGTTGATGTCCATCTGTGAGTCCCAGACGTCTTCACTCATAGAAGCAGGATCTCCAGGTTGAGATTGTCCAACGCTTGTCAAAAGGATATCAATCCGTCCATGCTTCTTCATACACGCATCAACGAGCGCTTTTACAGAAGCTGAGTCTGTAGCGTCTGTAGCGACGATATCGCATATTCCACCCTCTGCTTCAATAGTCTCTTTTGTCTTTGTAGTTGAAGCGACTGTTCTGTTTCCGCCAAAGATGATGGCTCCCTGTCGTGCCAAGGTCACGGCGCATGCTGCACCGATTCCCCAGCCCTCGGTGCCTGTTTGGCCGAGACCGATTATGAGGGCAACTTTATTTGAAAGGTTGAGCATAATGAGCAGTTCAAAGAAACAAGGAAAGGATACCAATAATAGCCATTTCATCCATCATACCGACGTCCTCTTATTATTATATCTGTGGATTTACTTAGGTTGGTGCATAGCGGGATTCTCCCGTTGTCGTGTAAGTGTAAGTGCTCCGTCGGCAATATTGCGTGATGGCCGACGCGGGGTCACCCCGTCTGCACCTCCAACGCCGATATGTGATCATCGCCACGGGGGAGAGTAATACATAAACACTGATAGGCCGATATATCATCCCCTGTAATCATCCCTCCTCAACTTCATTGATCAAAATGTCAGACCCCAAGAAACCAGTGGTCAACCCAGACTATGACCTCGACCAACCCATCACATCAAAGGTCGGCCTTCGCCAAGGCCTCGCCTCCTACGGCGATCCTCACTTCTCCCTCTTCCTCCGCAAAGTCTTCATCAAAGCTCTCGGCTACAGCGAGGATGCCCTCTCACGTCCCATCATTGGAATCGTGAATACATACTCCAGCTTCAATCCCTGCCATGCCAATATTCCTCAGCTTATTGATGCTGTCAAGAGAGGTGTTCAGCTCAATGGTGGGTTGGCGATTGACTTTCCTACGATTAGTATTCATGAGAGCTTCTCGTCGCCGACGAGTATGTACTTGAGGAATCTTATGAGTATGGATACGGAGGAGATGATTGCGGCGCAGCCTTGTGATGCTGTTGTGTTGATTGGTGGTATGTTGACCTTCGAAGTATACTGAATGAGGTTGATGCTGACCAGAATAGGATGTGACAAGACTACACCCGCTCAGCTGATGGGAGGTATCTCGGCAAACAAGCCCATCCTCCATCTAGTCACTGGCCCAATGATGCCCGGTAGTCATCGCGGAGTACGCATCGGAGCTTGCACAGACTGCCGCAACAACTGGGCCAAGTACAGAGCCGGCACTCTTGACATTGAAGATATTTCAGCTATCAACGATGAACTAGCACCAACTGTGAGTTCTCACCATTCAGCTCATGGCATCAAATCTAACAATAGCAGGGAGGAACTTGTGGTGTTATGGGCACGGCATCTACCATGGCCTCCATTCTCGTTGGACTCGGCATGATGCCTTTTGCTGGCGCCACGGCCCCAGCTGTATCGGCGACAAGGTTACGAATTGCAGAAGCCACAGGTGGATTAGCCGTTGCAGCTTGCAAAGACGTTGAACGCCTACGGCCACAAGCTTTACTCTCGCGGGAGTCGTTCTTAAACGCCATCACTGTACTACAGGCAATCGGCGGCTCAACGAATGCTGTGGTTCATCTCATGGCAATCATTGGGCGCCATCCCAAAGTTGCAGGCACGATAACATTGGAAACCATCGACGAGATTGGCCGTAAGACACCGTTGCTGGTTGATCTGAAGCCAAGTGGTGATAACTACATGACAGACTTCCATAACTCAGGTATGCCGTTCATTCTGTTTTGAAGTAAAGACTAACAAGTCCAGGTGGTATGCTCGCTTTGTTCCATGAACTCAAGCCTCTACTTCATCTCGATGCCTTGACAGTCACCGGCCGAACACTAGGAGAAGAAATTGCCCACAACTCTCTCATTCCAGTTCCTCGAGAACTAAGTGTCATTCAACCATTTGATAAGCCATTGTACCCAGCGTCTTCTCTGGTAGTGTTGAAAGGCAACCTAGCCCCAGGAGGCGCTATTATGAAAGCCAGTGCTTCGAAGTACCGAAAGCTACTACAGCACACCGGCAAGGCCGTCGTTTTCGCAAACTCTGCGGATATGGCAGAGAGAATCGACGATCCTGATCTGGATGTAACACCCGACAGTGTCCTGGTCCTGCAGAATATTGGCCCAATTGGAAACCCCGGTATGCCAGAGGCAGGCATGATCCCTATCCCAAGAAAGATTGCCTCCCAAGGAGTATTGGATATGTTGCGTCTATCAGATGGTCGCATGAGTGGAACAGCAGGGGGAACAATCGGACTGCACATCTCCCCAGAATCAGCAGACCCCAAATCCCCGCTTGGTATTGTCCGAAATGGAGATCTCATCACACTGGATGTCGAAAAGAGGCAGCTCTCTGTGGATCTATCCGACGAAGAAATATCAAAGAGGATCCAGGAGAGACTCAAGACCTTCCAGCAAGCTGAGGGTGCTGCAACACCGTGGGTGAAGCGAGAAGGAATGAGAGGTTATCGGGGCTTATACATGCGCAGCGTGAATCAGGCTGAGCTAGGTGCTGATTTTGACTTCTTGACTGCTGAAGGGCCACAAAAGTCCCAGGACTAATGTATGGGGTTAGATTGAGTCTGTGGGAATAAGGCCTTGGAACAGGTCGCGAACAATGTTATCCAGATTTGTCGACTCGGTGGGCTCGAAGTATTCCGCGAATGTCTCGTTAAGTAATCCCTCGTAGAACTGGTTCTGCATGAAACCCATGTCGTCGTCAATATTCATTTGCGATGAAGAAGATCCCTGGATGCTGTTGAACTCCTGCCCCAAACTCTCCCATGCATCTGTGGAGAGTGTAGGATCAATCACTTGTTCATTGACCTGTGGCGCAGAGCGGTCGCGCAAACCCTCCGATCGCCTGTTTTTCTCTCGGATATATCGAACAGTTGATTTGCCCAGGTTATCCAATATGTCGCGACTGTGTTTGGCGCCAGACCAATGCTCACCTGTCGCACCCAGAATGCTGAGGGATATGCTCAGGTCAGACATGAAAGCGTCTACACCCGTAGAGCGGGCGATTTCTGACACTGACTGAATGCAGTACAACAGAGTTATGGAACTTAGAACAAGTCCATGGAACGTAGTCCAGCTATGAACAAGCAGGTTTTTCTTATACAATAGGTCAAATAGCTGTAGGCTTTCACGAGCACTCTGATGGCACTTTATCAAAGCATCTTTGGGGGGTTTGGGTATGGCAGGACTGGGCCTCAATAGGAGCATTCGTAAACCGTGGTATCGGAGCTGGCAAGTCGTTCGCAGATACAACACATCAGGGTCATCAACACCTGGTATCTTGTCTGACCACTCGTCCAGTCGCTGAAGCATGGCGTTTTGCCAGTCATTGATGTCAGTCACTCTAGGATAAGCATATCTTGGCGTGTCTCTTATGATGCTTTGCGCGATGTATTTGATCTCCGAGTTGAGTTTGGCCGCTTCGAATAGGTGAATCGCAAATACCATGTTACTGGATGATTCGGTGATTTCTTGTTGCCTCTGATTAACAAGCTGCTCGTCGGGCAGACCCATCGGCATCTTTCTCGTTAGTCTGTGTCATGATTCAGCAGTGTTGGTAAACTTACACGGAGCTCACACCCTTCATCACGTAGTCCAATTGGTCGACCCATCATTGTCGCAATGATGCGATCGAAGGAGTAAATGACCCAGAAGATCCTGGCTCGCATCTCCTGATTAAGCAGACTGTAATCTGGTCCCATGCTGATGTTCCTTTGGAGACCTTGATCGACCAAGGCAGCGATGCAGTGATAGTTGAGATACCAGACATTGAGGCGAACGCACGGGCTGTGTATGGTGAAGATGAGGAGCAAGACAAGACACTGAATGCCCTTCAACGAGTTCTCGACATTTAGTTCATCGAGGTATTGTAGTGCTGAGAGACAATATGACTCTGCTGGTATGCGAGCTCTAGTTCGAGCAGAGAGGACAGCAGATCCTATCGCCAGAACCATGAAGACTTGGAAGTGGGCAGCAGGGTCCTGGCTCTCTTCATCATAAGCCATATCCAGATAGTCATAGAACCTATGTTGATGTAAAATCGGATATTGTAAGTTGATAGCGCTGAAGTATGCCTCGCACAATTGCATTGCCGTGTCTCTGGGCGGGAGTGGAAGTGGCCCTTGGAGAGCTTCAACCAGTCTTATAGGGAACGGAGCATTACGATTCGCGCGACCAACGCTATCGTCTGATTTCGAGGCTGAGTCTAGCAAAACCCGTGCTAGGAAATAACCACTGGATGGGCCGATATATCGTGGATCTTGGTTCGTGGCAAGGGAAACCAGCCCAATCTCGTGGGTCATGGCACTGGCTCCTGTGGGCTCCGAAGTAGAGGTTACCGGCTGTGTTTCTGGCTGAGATACCGGCGGCTCATTTTCAGAGTTTCGCACGATCTCAGAGCTCTGTTGAACGGGCTCAGGTGCTAGTAGAACAGAATTGTCTGTAACTTCGGAGTTGGCGTCATTCCAGGATTCTCCTATATTGACGGGAGGACCTTGAGATAGGTCGACGTCGGGACAATTCGATCGGATAATTGACTCTAGCCAGTTAATCCGGTTCGTCAAAGATGCGATGTATCTAGATCGTCAATTAGCAACCATCATGAGAGGCTCTAAATGGTCCACAGCCACATACTGTCGAGGTGCAGCATCAGCACGGGATGATTTCCCATCAACACATTCAGCGCCAGCGCTACGACAATTGCTACAGGTCGGTAACTCCAAATTACACTAAAAACGGCTTAAAAAATCGATATATCCCAAGTTGGTGCATAACGTACCTTTCTTTTCAGGCGTTGACACCGAGAACAGGCCATGCGTGTCCTAGGGGCACTCCTGTCGGGCAAAGAGGCCTGATGGGGTCGCTTCCCATTGGAATTCCTCGCCCCGGGCATTTTCGTAATTCTGCCGGTAACGGATCGAGTTTCTCGGCATGCAATGATGTGCTGAGTGTAAGGGATGTAGATGGGAGGATAGCAAAAATCCGTCGAGCGGGGAGATGCCGCTTTAACGCCTTTGAGAGAACGGGCCTTCCCCGCTCGTATTTCCGGTGACATCTGAGTATTAAAAGAATGGAGAGGATCGCTAAACATCAGAATCAACAAGTATCAAAACATCTCAGTGGTCTTTAAAACACTAGATTGAGCTCATATTGAATTGTTTACTCCATCATGGCTGAAAACCAAGACTCCCAGAAGTTCCCAGTCGCCGCCTCCGAAGCACGACGCTTCGTTGAAGACGTCCTCAAAGGGAACGGCATCCCCTCCGAGAATGCCTCCATCATCGCCCGCTGCTTAGTCGCCGCCGATCTCCGCGGCGTAGACACCCACGGCATGAACCGCATCCCCTCTTACATGGAGCGTCTGCGTCAAGGCGTCCTCAACGCCAGCGCCCAGCCCATCCTCACCCAAGTCACACCCGCCGTAGCTCAAGTCGACGGCCAGAACGGCTTCGGCTTTGTAGCTGCTCACAAGGGCATGACTGCTGCGATAGAGTCTGCAAAGGTGTTTGGCATTGGTATGGCGAGTATCAAGCACTCTAACCATTTCGGTATGAGTGCTTGGATCGTGCAGCAGGCTCTTGATGCGAATATGATGAGTTTGGTGTTTACGAACTCAAGTCCTGCGCTGCCTGCGTTCGGTGGAAAGAGCAAGCTGATGGGTGTTTCGCCTATTGCTTGTGGCGCGCCTGGTAAAGGACCTATGGAAAACTTCATTCTTGATATGGCGCCTTCTGTGGCTGCGAGGGGGAAGATTTATAAGGCGAAGAGACGGGGCGAGAAGATCCCGCTGGACTGGGCCCTTGATGCTGAGGGTCGCCCAACAGATGATCCCGAAACTGCTCTCGGTGGTGTCATGCTACCAATGGGTGGTCCCAAGGGCTCTGCACTATCAATCATGATGGATGTCTTCTCAGGAGTTCTATCAGGTTCAGCTTTCGCTGGCCATGTCACTGGCCCCTACGATCCTTCCAAACCTGCAGATGTTGGCCACTTCTTGGTAGCCATCAAGCCTGACCTCTTTATGAGCTTGGATGAGTTTAGAGAGAGGATGCAGTATCTTTACGAGCGTGTTGTTGGGTCAGAAAAGGCTGCTGGGGTTGAGAGGATTTATTTCCCAGGTGAGATCGAGCAGTTGGCTAAGAAGGAGAGGGAGAGGACTGGCATCCCACTTGTGCAAGCTGAGATTGATGCTTTGAATGCTGAGGCGAAGAAAGTTGGGGCAGAGCCGCTGAAGTTTTGAGTATGTAATTATAGGATTTTGATAGCATTGTGAAAATTGGAGATCATTTGTTTTAAGAGAGAAGCCCAATGTGATGAATCTATGTGTATAACACCTTTCTCTTATATGTTTGGCACCGGTCGTCGAGTGAGGAACTACCTTTCCTCTCAACAGAGCAAACAAGTCTATTTAGCTGTATTGGATTGCTCTAACCCTCTAATCCAGTGCGTCTCATTGCGTCTCATTGCGTCTTTGGCTGCGAACCCTTTACATACTTCGTATGCTGCCCAAGCGTAACCAACTTCAACCCCCCATCCTTCTCAACCTTTGATATCCTAATCGACGTAAACGCCACGCTGCCCCCAACCTTATCCGCCGTTGAAACAATCTCAACCGTATCCCCCAACCGCGCCGCACTCAGATAACTAATATGCATGTCCACACTCGCACCAGTCGTGTCCCGCAAATCCCAGCTCGCAATAGCCAGACCAGTTGTGAAGTCAATGATGGTAGCTGATACAGCGCCGTGCAAGTTTCCACTGCTGTTGAGATGGTTCTCGTTCAGAACGAGGCGTGTTGTGACGCTGCCCTGCGTTGTGCTGATGAGTTGCGCCGAGGACATGATGAAGTTGTAGATGGGGCTTTTGGCGCGGAGACGATCCATGAGGGATTGGACGTGCGCGGTCCTTTGGACTTCTGAGGAGTCGACATCTGGGGTTTGAACACGAGTTGACGGCGGCTCAGACATTTTGAAGATATTGAAACTGGGACTGTTTTTGTGAAATTGTTTATGAGTCTTGTTCTTGATAGGTTTGTCTAGTGAGTTCTTTAAGAGAAATTTCCTCATCGGGCAATTCCCGCCCCTCCTTTGATGAATATCCTCTCTTCTCGCATACCAACTTCTAAACCTTCTCAAAAACATCCTTCAGGTAGTCAAACGCACCCAATGGAACGCCCTGTGTGCGCATGATGCAATATGCACTTGTGAGGTGGAAGTGGAAATTGGGGATTACATATTCGCTCACGTATCGCTGGCCCGTGAAGCGGAAGTTTCCCATCTTACTCTCCATTATAATCTCCTCATTCTCTTTACCGTTGATGACTTCAGGGTCTACACCCTCCAGAACCTCAATTGTGCGGGCGATGCGTGCTTGGAGCTGTTCGAATGTTTGCTCGTCGTCTTCGAATGTGGGAATGTTTTGTGCGCCGAGACGGGAGGCGAGGAATTTGGCTGTGTTGGAGCAGGATTGGACTTGGTAGGGTAGTCTAACGAGTGTTAGTCGGGATTCGCATGAGATTCGGGTAACTTACCCTCTCATATCGGAAATCAGACGGTATGTAAGAAGGTCTTCATGCTTCATTTCCTTATCGTCACAGAACTTGGCACCCTTCTGGAGCATGAAGGACAAGTTCTTGAGGTACTTGACCAGCACAGGAACGCTTTGTTGGTATAGGGTTGTCATTTTACTGGCTAACGATTGATACAATGGGATGTTGATCCTCGAAATAACTAGATGGACATAATGCCAGTATATATACCAACCTCGCGACCTTTTGCTCTATTCGTCCGGCACAATCTCACATATTCGCTTCTGATACTAGTGAGTCCGGACCGCTGACTGCAGCGTAGGATTTAGTGCTTATTGAATGAACCTTGACCACCCTCGAAACGTGTAAGACGATTCGACATGATGCTGAGATGTCTGGTGCCTCAATGACTATTGCCTAACACTACAGTTCTCTCTCACTAACGGGATGATCGGCTGACGGAACTTAGGCGCCGTGTAAGCTGACAGAGGATGCATAGACCCTCCATATTTACTTTAATCATAATTGATTTGTCATCGGTAGTTGTTTCTCGGGAGGTCGGCGCACAATCTTGACCTTCCGTGGATGTCGCAGGCCGAAGAAATGCACTTAGTATCGCAGTGGCCATATTAGTAGTCATTCATACTGGTACGACAACAGCACGTGAGTGAGACGCCGAAACTTTACCAAATAATTTCTGAGTATCATTGAATTGAACTCGACCGACCTGAAGTGGCGCGCACTGGTGTTCAATGTCTGGCTCGGGATGTCTGTCGAGGGCCCGATGAGGCTTCGGCACAGAAGCTCAAAACATTGATACATGGAATGTATTGTACGATACCATAAATCAACAAGACTTGACCAAATTAACATCTTATTATTAGATTTTAATTTATGTTGAACAAGCACGATGAAGTCAATCATGGCCAAGCCAAGCTTGTCATGCACCTCCTCCGAACCAACCCCGAACCCCCGCAATGTCTTGGTCTGTAACAACTTTAAATCGACACTCTCATCCAACATAACCACAAACAACACATCAACACATCAACAACTCAAAATGTCACTCCCAATTCTCGACCACTTCGCCATTCTGGTCTCCTACCAAACCCTCCAAACCGTAACCCAATCCCTCAAAGACTCCCTCCTCGTAATCGACGGAGGCGCCCACGCAGATGGCCTCACAGTCAACAAACTAATCCATCTCGCCGACGGCACATATCTCGAGTTCATCGCCTTCGTCGAAGGCGTAGACCCCGAGAAACGACGTTCTCACCGCTGGGGAAACCTCGAAGAGGGGAAGATCGCAGATTGGGCTCATACACTGCCCAGTGAGGCGGATTACGCACAGTTGCAGAAGCGCGTGGCTGATGCTGGGAATGGTGTTACGTATGGTGATCTCACTTCGCTGCAGAGACATAGACCTGATGGGGTTTTGATGAAGTGTCTTGTTTCAGTGGCGTTGAATGCGGAGGGCGGGAGGATCTTTCCTGGGACGGTGCCGTTTTGGTGTGTTGATGAGACTGAGAGGCATTTGCGATCGCCATTTAAGGCTGAGAGTGGTGATGGGCTGCATGAGTATACCAAACATCCTTCGCATGCTAAGGGCGTATCGAAGGTCACTGTTCTACTTCCTGAGAAGGATGTTGCGACATACAAGTCTATTTACGATGCTATTCACAACCAGAACGCAACCTCTGGATCGGATGGGTACTCATGGCCATACGATCTTCCAGCTGGTCCTAACCCAGGAAGTAACCAGGTCGTCCTATCGAAACTCGAAGGTGGAAATGGCAAGGCAGAGATCAAGTTGACACTCCTGGGCACAAATGAGAGCCCCAAGTCCATCGAGCTACTTCCCGGCTTAATCGTCGACTTTGAACACACAGATTAGACAAAAACAATATCTATTCGGGTATCTAGAAAAGAAAAAATACTTCCTATTCCAGCCTCAATACCAAGTCGCCGTTCGCTAGCCCTTGCTGCAAAACCTCGACAGCTTCCAAATAGTCATTCATTCTGGGACGAGTGTCCCTCTTGAGCATGACCTTGAATTCGAACCTCCCGTCAAAGTCCTCAGAGTACCATCTCTTTTTCGCGATCTGCGCCAGACGCTCCGAGATCTGATCGCAGATCCGCTGCAACTCATCCCCCAGAGGAATCTCCCGCACAAATTCATCGTAGATAGTTGGGTCATCTGCAAGGTTTGTAACCCAATTATAGCTCCCAGCAATGCCGTGCGTGAGGAGCGTCTCTCTCTCTGTGAGTTCCAGTAGGGGTGTGAAGATGGGGACTAGAGCTGCGATCGAGGAGATTGCCTCGAGGGCCATACAATTACCGCAGTTATGCGATAGAACACCACTCTCTGAGAACGTAGGCGGGATTCTGTAAACGCCCTCCATTGTGGTCGGCATGAACTTACCTGAGTGGGGATGAGGACAGTCTCTGTGAGGAGAGAAAACCTCTCGGCAAGATGGACAAGTCAAGATGGGGACTTGTCCTTCTTCCATTTCCTTCAAGGCTTCGTCGATCATGGTGTGGAGACACTTGTGTCCAAACATGTGACCGCAAGGTAAGATGCAAGCTCGGTGGGACCTGGTTTTCTCCTCATGGGTCAAGCCTTCATCGGGACTAAAGGTGTGGTCGTGGCGAAAGATGGACATGTCATTGAGACAGATTCCGCACTCGAGACGGAGATGGTTGAAGAGCTCTGGGTCTTCGATAAGGGAATCTCTGAGGCGAGGCCAGAATGGTGTAGTCCATGCTGGTCTGTTGGATTCGGGATCATGGTGGATGATACTGTTGAGGGACATCTTGTTGTCGACGGGTGTAGACGACATGACAAATGGTGGTTCTTGTTAGTTGGGCACAAGATGATAAGTTCAGGAGAATGCAGTAAATCTAGAGGAAGAGGTATTCTTATCGAAGGCAATTGAGGGGAATTATGTTTATTTAGCTGTTTGATCTACTGATTCAATGTCTGTTGCTGTTCGGCAGTGTCAATCAGATACTGGCGAACACAGTCGTTGACAAAGGCTGTTCTTGTTCAGTCCCCCTTGACTATGCCGAACAATCTTGACAATGTGTTGTTCCTTACTGTGTCAGTGGCAGACAAAGAACAATATTGAATACAGCCCCGGGTAGCTAAACATATGTTTTATACTAAAACTCGGGGAGTGCCAGTAAAGGCAAGGCCATTGCTGCATACGAACGGTACTCGGGCTTCACATTGTGTAGAAGTTCGTCTCGTCACCTCCATATGCCCCTGCATGAATTTTCTTTTTTTTTTCCCTTAAGTTTACATATCAGCCTCGAAAGGTATCCAAGTATCTCCAAAGTCTACCATAAATTAAACGTTCCTTGCCTCTTAGGTGGCAAAGCTTCATTAAGTTAATATCATTAAGTTAGCTGCCTCAATTGCAGCCTGAACCTAGATGCACTCAATTCAGCTGGAGAGCCTTGCTCTTCAGCTGGCCGAAATCTTCCTCCTGCAACCCACTTCAAAGGTCTTGTGTTGACCCCTGTAACCACGCTTCAATCGTCCAGCACGCTTTGACAGTAAGTCATCCAACCCGACTTCTGATCGCAATCGCTAAGCATGAATTTATATCTGTAATGACACTGGCAGCGCCAAATTTAATGCTAAATGTTCATTTGTGCTCTGGCAGTGATCGAGTTACAACAGTGGCAGAAACGACCATATCTGATGAACAGCACTCCAGCCTTCGAAGTGAATGGAAAAAGTAAACGGAATATAAACTAAACGTTATTCCGTAGAAATGAAGTGTAATCTTTTCCTCCTTATCATATCCTCTCCATCTCGATCCTAGATCATCTCATCTATTCTAGATCACACACCCTTCATCATGCCCACCATGAATCCAGTCATGAATCCTGGATCCATCATCGACGCAATCCGCAGTGATCCAATGCCCATCACTGACATCTACTGGCCAGCCTTCAAAAAGGCAGTCGAGAATGATCCCCAGCAACTCTGCCCCATCGATCTGACCTGCACCATCTGCACAGAGCAGATGTCGACGCAAGGATCCGGAAGTGGTTCCATCCATTGGATCCCGAAAACAGGTCGCAGAATCTCTCATGACGCCCAAATCCTCCCCTGTGGCCATATGGTAGGCGGCAGCTGTCTCATGAACTGGCTTGACAGACAGTCCGAACAGTTTCGAGGAAGAGAGTCCTACTCGTGTCCTGTCTGCAACACTGCGATCATGTATCATCCTGAGTGCGGGCACTTATGCCACGGTCAACGGATCCCACACTTGGTCGCCGACTACTCTCAAGTCCCTCTTGTTCTGAGTGAGGGCGGTTTCATCTACGCTCGATGTGCCGGATGTGAAATCCAGCATACCTTTTCCGAGATGACCCAGTACACCGGTATCTACAAGTGGGAAAATGAGGTCGAGTCCACTCACCAATACATCTCCCTTGGCTTTTTGGACCGACGCCCTGGCGGTTTCTTGTACATGGATGGTTCTAGAAACCCCAAGCGACCTATTTGTGAGCGCGTCCGAAGACTCCAAACTCCAGAGGAGTTGAAGACTATTTGGGAAGCCTATAGAAAGGTTTGGGTGCTGAAGTTCAAGACTTTTTGGATTTCGCATGATTTTTCTAATGTAGGTCTGTGTCTCTACTTGATGAAGACTATGAAGCCACTTCCCCAGGCGCCCAAGACACAGGGCTTCTTTCGTCGTGTGTTCTCTCGACAATCATCTATCTGATATGTTGGTTGATGAGTGTATGAGGAGTTGTCATGTTTTAGAGCTCAACAGTGGACTGTGAACCGAGCCGCTTAGGTCTCTTTGTTTTTATGACTGGCATTTTGTATTTGCAATTTGTGGTATCATGATTGATGACGATACAGACTGGTCCTGAGCTTAAGGTAGTCAGATTTAGGAAATAAAACTGGATGTTAGACCACAACTTGATGACACTTTTACCATGCATGAATCGTGATAATTCTTATGAACTTCAACATATCGGGGGACATCGGTATAGAAATATCAAACTTGTTTAGGGACTACGACAGTACCTGAGATAAATGCATCTGTCGTCACTGTGATTGCTTGATTTGAAGACGAGGACAACGCAGAATGAGTTGATTCTGGACCAAATATAACTATCAGAAGATTTCAATGTATTTCTGTGAGTTTTTTACTCTTGAGTAGTTACTGAATATATTGTCCTGATTTGGCGCATCGAGATGCGCATGGTGTTTTAGTAAAGTACCTACCAACAAAAACACCTTTTAGCAGGCAATTACTTACATTATCCATCCAGTTACCTTATCTTCTTTTTCTTTCTTTACATTGATTTCCGTCCTTTTAAGTCGGATTTCATTTCTCATGCGTATTTATGGCTAATCGCATCTGATGTCGAACGGCCAGCAACGCTGATAGCTCAAGTTACACTTGCCAGTGGCAGCCCGTGATTCATCACCAAACAAATTTGTTAATCCTTTGTTTACTCTGTTCCTTTCCTCTCGCACATGCCTATCCCGTCTCTTAGACTTCATCATATCACCTTTCTTCTCTCATCAACAACTCCATACTCTCGACTCGTCATCCTCCGCCTGCGTAACCATGCATGAACCTACAATCCAAATCATCACTCGCCCACCAGAGCCGTCAGATCCTGAGCCCAAACCTGAACCATTAGTCGTCTGGCGCGATGAAAACGGAAAGATTTACTTTCGTCACAATCCAAAGCTTCCCATACTGCGATATCCAAACAGCAAGGCGGCGATAGAGAAGCCAGATGACGATCCAAGCAAATGCAAGAGTTGCACTCGCGAGTGTCTTGTGGCTATCCGTAGGTATCTCCTCTTTCGTTTCTCTTCTCGCCTGACTTACTCGCACAGCAAACGAAGAAATGGAGAAAGAGATCCGTGAGCTTGAACTTGAGTATGACAAAGACGGCGAAGATCCCCAGCCCAAGAAACCCAAGTACAATTTCGACAGGGAAATGGCCATGCTATCCAGAAAAGGTGCCAGCAAAGTCGACATCTACAAAGCCGGCAAGAGGAACAAGAACAAGAGAGAGACCCTTGATGGTCTCTTAAAGGAAAGGGATGAACTCAAGAAAGAGAAAGTCGGTCTCTCCAAGGAGAGGTCCGCCCTGATCAAAGCACTAAAGGTCAAGAAAGCAAACAAGATCAGAGACGAAACCCCAGCCAACATCACAGAAAAGAACATTGCAGAGATGAAGAAACTCTCCGAGTTCATCAGCGCCAGAATCAAACGCTGGAATAAATACGACGAGCCCAAGAGTGAAGTGATGGCGAAAGAGGACACCAAGTATACTCTCGAGCAACTGTACAAGCATCTCCCAAACTCTTTCGTCGACTTCGAATATGAGGAAGAGATACACGTGTGCCGTGTCTTGGACTTGCCTTGCTACGGGAGAGCGTTTGGTGAGGATATTGAGGACCACCTGCATGGACCAGAGCATATGGTGGGTAATTTGCACAACCTCTGGAGTTCACTGTCTCTAATGCTGTTAGGCCTGGGATCAGTCGATGAAGGGGAAAGTCCCGCTTTATCTTCAGTACAACCGAGTGAAGCGGGAGGTCGATAATGGTCTTTCATACCAGGAGGGCTTGTTGGCAGAACTTATTGTTGACCCTTACTCTTACTAGGTCAGAAACAGACGACAGAGGCAGTACACGGTGGAGCTCAGTTGAGAAACAAGAATTCAATAGCTCAAAAGAGTCTATTTTTGCCCCCATTACCAAGTCTTGCAAGTGACCGCCGACGGCACTCGTGTAGATCCCATGTAGTGTTACAGTACAAATGCGCGCCCCTAAATAACCCAGGAAACAAAAGAAACAATGTTCAGTAGGTACCAATGATCCATATATCGCCGTCCCAATTCTTGCAATGCGTGATTCTTTAATCGGCACGCGATCCGCTGCTGTGACGGGCACGCTTTCGTCCGCTGCTTGTGGCAGGGTGCATCTTGTCGTTGCGCTCCCTCTTGAGCTTGTCGTCCAAGACGCGAGCTGAACACCGTTAACACAAAAATCTCCTCTCTCCAAGCCCGCGAACATACTGAGAACATCGTATCCGAACTGGGGGTGCTCCAAGCACAGAGCCTTGAACTCCTCTTCCGCCTCGGCGCGAAGGGTGTGCGAGCGCGTGGCCCAGAAGCTTGCGACGGGGGCGCGGATGGTGGTGTCGTCGTTGCTGGTGTATGCGTAGACGTAGCGAGCATATGCGATCTCGCCCTTGGCTGTGGAGTTGACGCAGTGGATCTTGGAGCTCGAGAGGCCCTTGAGACCGGCGACGCCAAACTTCTCGGCGAGGGTGTAGATGCGGGCGTGCTTGAGGAGCTGGTCGCCGCTGTTGTCAACCGAGGGTACTGAGGGGTCGGACTCGAGGACGCGCTGGCCGGGAAGCTTCTTGGGGAAGTATTCGCCTGTGTATAGGTATTCGAGGAAGCTGCCGACGGTTTCGATATCGTAGTCGGGAAGCTCAATCTGACGAGGCTGTAGGTGGGGTTAGAAGGAGTCCAAGGCAAGATATCGCTCGCGCAGAGGTTCTGGAGCACTAACGCTGCTGTCCTCGACAAATCTATCACAAATGTCCTTGAAGTAGGGACTTTGTGTCAAAAGTCCCTGATGTGCTGAGAGAATAGATTGGTCGCCAGATCCGATGAGGAGGGTGACGATTGGGCTCATGAGATAATTTGCAAAGGTAACTCTAGGCTCTGCGATCTCAGAGTTGGCGAAAGGAAGCTCGGTGTTGTCGGCATTCTCATTCTCCTCGCCCTCTTGGGTAGCCTCTGGCGCAGTATCCTGTGTGTTCTGGGTCTCGGACATCTCAACATCGCCGGTGGGCTCGACCGAGTCCTCGTGCTGAACGGTAGGCATGGTTGCTAATGAATTAGAAGTCGAGTCATAAGGGAATGATTAGTTCAATTGCTTGAAACGAGTGGAATTGGTGCCGAAATCAGTGACTTAAAGATGGTTCAAATGATGGTTCCTGAGCGCGTGTGGATTCGCGTAAACGTGAGATCCACCTCAGCCTTGGTGGGCAGCTTCGGGTCCAGGCTAATCCGAATGCGGAAGTGAGCTTGGCTGATGATGGTGCCTCGTGCGCAAGGCATCACTGCATGATCATCATGGCTACCCTACACCGACCGTTCAGGAACTGCCGACCCTGCCGCTATCGGTGCCCCACCCCCACTAACATCTGAGTCGTCTTCATTTGGCAATCGATAAAAAGTGACTCCGAAGCAAACACCTTTCCACCAACTAGCCCTTCCATTGTTCTCCTTCTTTGTCCTCAAGCCACCAATCTGTCGTGACATTCGGGGATAATCACTACAAGGATGTGTGCAGCACATGTAAGAATACCTCTCTATTGCAATCGCCATCAATCAGCTTCACCGAGACTTCCGCAATGGCCCATACTAACCTTCAACACCAGCTCGATATACGGCCAACTGCCGATGAAGCTCGAGCTGCCTTCAACCAAGAATGGACTCCCACGACCCAACCCACGCTTCTCCCCGTTTGCGCCTCTGCTCCCGCCGATCTATTGACTCCTTCAGCTATCTATCTTAAGCTGTCATCGGGGTAAAGATTACAATGCTTCCACCGCCGAACTACCCTCTGACTCACCTCTTACAGCGCAACTGCCGAATACTCATTTCTCCTCGAGAGTGCGACTGGAAGCACAGAGACAGTTGGACGATATAGTTTTATTGGCGCTAGTAAGCTTCTTTGAGACTCCTGTGCTGGACATCCTCTGAATCTCTCTTCTAGACCCGCGAAAAGTACTGGCCACTGGTGACGGCTACGAACATAATGGCGACCCTCTCAAGACCCTAGCGACCGAACTTTCCAATGATCGAGTTCTAGATATTCCTTCGGTGGCGCTTCCAAAGTTGTCTGGTGGTGCCGTTGGATACGTTTCATATGACTGTATCAAATACTTCGAGCCCAAGACTGAGCGACCACTCAAAGACAACCTCCAGATTCCCGAGGCTTTGTTCATGCTGTTTGACACAATTGTCGCCTTGGACCACTTCCGTTCTACATTGACAATTGTCACACATATGAAGCTGCCCAAGAGCCCCTCTGACGATCTTCAACCTGCCTACGACGAGGCCCGTGAGACACTCCGAAAGACCCTCGACATCATCTACCAGCCCGAGACTCCCTTACCTGCTCAAACTCTCGGTGAGCAATCAGAGTCAGAGCAGCAATATTCGTCAAACGTTGGCCGCAAAGGATACGAGACATTCGTCAAGGAGCTCAAGAAATACATTGTCAAGGGAGACATCATTCAAGCCGTGCCTTCACAACGGTTCCGCCGAAGCACCAAACTTCACCCCTTTAACATTTACAGAACTCTCCGAACACTCAACCCCTCGCCTTATGTGTTCTTTCTCTCATGCGCCGACTTTCACATCGTTGGTGCTTCGCCGGAGTGTCTGATGAAGACTGATGGATACGCCCCATTACCCTCTGACTCACGATTTGGCTACTCAGCTGCCGAAGCTCGATCAAGGCCCCGTATCGTCAACCACGCAATTGCCGGTACAATCCACCGTGGAAAGAATGCCGCTGAGGACGATAGACTCGCTGCCGAGCTTTTGGCTTCCAAGAAGGACAGAGCTGAGCACGTCATGTTGGTAGATCTCGCCCGCAACGACGTGAACAGAGTCTGCCACCCCACAACCGTCAAGGTTGACCGGCTCATGAGAATTGACCGCTTCTCCCATGTTCAGCACATCACCTCCGAGGTTTCAGGAGTTCTGCGTCCCGAGTGCACACGCTGGGATGCTTTGCGTTCCATTTTCCCCGCGGGAACAGTCTCTGGCGCACCCAAGATCCGAGCTATGGAGCTCATCTACGACCTGGAGCAGGAGAAGCGGGGTATCTATGCTGGAGCTGCAGGATGGTTTGGATACGACATTGTGCGCGTGGACGAGGGCAGCAAGCCTGAGGACAAGGTTTTCGTCGACGAAGGACCCATGGACACGTGCATTGCCATCCGGACCATGCTCGTCAAGGATGGCGTGGCATATATGCAGGCCGGCGGTGGCATCGTCTACGATAGTGACCCTACAGATGAGTGGATGGAGACGATGAATAAATTGTCCGCCAACCTCCGCTGTGTGGAGCTGTCGGAAAGGTACTTTGGCGATGGAGTGAGCACTAAGACCGTGGAGGAGATTATTGCGATTGAGAGGCGGAAGGGAGAGGAGGAGGTGAAGGAGGCTGAAAAGTAGGGCATCTGCATAGATAGATTTCTGATGAAGGATAGAATCAATTGATACTCATTGGCGCGCTTATTGTGTCCGAAGTCGTTTATTTCCTCGTCATTGCCATCCCCTGCCGGGGTAGTGTTCACGACAGAGGTTGTTCAAACGGTCAGGACTTCACTGTTCTGGCCGAACCAAATGAAGGCAAAACAACGCCATGAGAGTCACAGTTCAAGCTTAACTCACAATATGGACCGTGAACATTGAATGCGCTTGACTTCAGCCACTGCATTAGATGAGGCTATATAATGAAATGATTTGATGCCAACTCTGCAGCAAATTCATCTCATCATCATTACCCTCTCACCCTCCACATCCAGGTAACTCTTACAACAAAAAACAGATCACCAACACAAAAGGTAAGTCTACACAACACGAACTACATCTCGTCTCACTTCATCGGTCAGTCATCACTGGTGAGTACCCCTTTTCGACATGTCTCATCCTTCTAAGCCTCTCCCCGAAGCCTTCTGGCCAACTATCAAACAGGCTATAGACAAGGGCAGCAACACCAATTCTGACAACCAGGCTATCACACCTCAATGCCCCATCTGCATGGAGCCACTCCCAGTGAAATCTTTCCCTACCCAAGGTGAGTTGGATGCTGAGGTCTTGCTCTGCGGTCATGTTCTCTGCCATCCATGCCGTGAAAAATGGGAGCAGAGTGAGTTGGGGAGCCGGTGCCCTGCGTGCCGAACCACTCTCATGTGCAGTCGTTGTGAAGTAAACGCGATCCCCCTCACTATCCCCAAGAACGGCGAAGGATACAGTCTTCCCCCAGGTATTCCCGAGGGCACTCCAGACTTGTGTCCTGACTGTCAAGCTGAGGTTGAGTTCCACGAGGCCGTTGAGAATGGTGAGTGGCCTCGTAATCTAGATGACATGGAGCCTGGGTTTGTCAGCCTTTTCTACCATGTTGTTAATGATATTGAGAAGTATGGCGGTGTTGCTACGGAGGGCAGGGTTCAAGAAGCGATTTCCGACACCATCATGCAGGAGTTTTCAAACATGATGGAGAGTCGTCGCATGGTGACGCTTGGCCGGGGGAATACACTGCGACAGGCGAATCCATGGTACGCTGAGAACAACAGACGTCAGGAAAACCGTCGTGTGGGGGTTATCGGCTTTGACTCGGACGATGACCCGGAGCCTCGTGCAAACACTCCTGCTGGTGTCCCTCATCTGGTTCGAGATCCTTTTATGCTCAGGGTGGGTGATAGTATTGAAGTCCGGTTTAATCCACTGGATCCTCGCTATGCCAATCAGTTTGACGTCCAGGATGGCGTTGCACCTGCAAATGCAGCAGCACCACGACCCGACAATGTGAGCCCCATTGTCCGAGCAATTTGGGGACCAGAGGTAGGAGGAGAAAGAAGGGCTCAGGACGATGACAGGCAGCCACCAGATGCTGACGAACTCAGACACTGGTCTGAGTTTCTAGCACGGGAGGGCAATTCTTCTCCAGCGACAGCTGAAGCGGCCGGACCAGCTGCACCTCGCAGCTTTGAACAAGGATTTGACTTTGCGGCTCTTGTGAATCTGGGATATAGCATCGGCGCAATGCCCCAGCAGTTTCGGGACTATATGGCGGGAGATTCGGCGACAGGAGAGGCGTCAAGTTCGGCATCCAATGCCTCGCATAGCTCTATGAATCAGGACGATAGCGACGAGATGTCGACAAATGATCAGCCCGTCTCTGAGCGCTGAGGATCCCCGATACGATATCCACAGTGGGAAGACGCGTGTAAGTCAAGGGCATGATGATATTGCATGCGGACCGTGGTAGAGTAGGCGAGAGACGCTCGGACCGAGATATGGATGGGACGGCACGGCACGGGAAACGGCATCAAGTATGTATGTACGAAGTAGACTAGAAAAGTTATTCGTGACTTTGAATTTGAATTTGTTCGGTGAAACGGAGTTTTGGATCAGGATCAACCGGGGATAAATTAGATTGATTGATACGGAACTGAATCATTAGTCAGTCAGTGCATACGTAGGTACGTTGGCGGAGAATAAACAAAAAGGTCTAAGAAATGTTTCAAGGGGTTCGGATGTGCCGTCAGAGCCGTTTGAGTTTATTGGTATCAGTCGATCCCTTTAGTGAATGAGAAGAAACCCGTGACATGCAATGGAATTAGGAAATAAGAGAAACAATGCTATGTATGCAAATCGTACGTCAGCTAGGCGCGTGGACTATTGTTTGAGGCTGCAAGCAACATATGCGGATAGTTCAGCCACGTAATTCAGGAAGAAGCGAATACACGTATGATTCGGATATCGGCTCCAGAGAAAGAGTGATGCCCAGCCCATGACTCGAAATGCGAAATATATATGCCGATGGTTGGAAATATAAACGAAATACAGTGAGGATAGTGAGTGAAGAGAAGGGAAAAGTGGGCAAATAGCATCATCTCACCGCGCCGTGCCGGTATCCGATCGCGCCCAATCGACCCCGGCAAGTCGGCACGTCGACATCCACCTTTTCTAAACGCCCAGTTTTTAGTCTGATATTGGTTTGCATGGTATTTACGAGGGAGCATATGAACAAACACAGACAGAGGAGTTATATGCAGATAATGACAGACTCAAAGAAGATGTAGAGATATAGAATGTTGAATGGTGATATTTTACCGTCTACAATCACACATCCTTCACACCTCGACATTTGTGCTCAGATCTCTTGTCTAAATTAGATGCATGTCACTCCAACTCGCTTCTCGGCACCACAAATTCCTCTCCAAGGGGGGGGCCAGGCCATTCCCCAATCCCACCCTCCACTCAACCTCATCCGCTAGTGGACAAGCCCGTTGCTGTCTCGGAAGTACGGCTTCATCGTCTTGCCTATTGAAAGTTGCCTTGCCTTTGAAACTGCGGCGCCTCTGGGGCCCTTTCAGGTGCCGTCTCTTCCAGACTTTCGCACTCTTTTTTCCCCTTGGCTCGCGCCTAAAAATAATACCTACCCCCCATCCCAGCCCTGGGGCTTACTTACATCTATCTACCTGTTGTTCCCCCTGCCTCTTCTCACTCTCTCTCGCTTTTTCGGTTCCTGCTTTTAGAAGACCACCCCCTCTCGCTTCTTGCGCTGTGCTTCCCCCCCGTTTACAAATTCTTGTAACTGAACTGGACCTGGACCTGGACCTGGGGGCTTGGCTTGAACTTCCATTTAAGCCAAAGGGGGCCTAGAAGCCTCTGCCAAGAATTTCCATCCCGTCTACTTCAGGACCCTTTGGCATTTACATCACTTACATCTGCATCTTGATTTGAGCCTCACTTCACTACAAATCAATTCGTTTCGTTGCTTCTTTCGACAATTGATTACCTAACACTTGGGACCTTCACCATTGAATGATACCGCGATAGATGCCTTCCGCTCTGCAGGCCGACATGGACATGGATCCCGCCGTTGTCGGCCTCCCTACCACCACAGCCATCACTGGCCTTCTCGACGTCGGCGCTGCTGCCATCGACATCCTCAGCGACCTCAACATCTCGCCGCAGCACGACACCGCCATCCTCAACATCCTCCTCCGCGAGGTCAAGGAGTGTCGATCCTCCGTCCACGCCTTCTACAAGACCCTCAACCTCATCGAGAACAACCAGATCCCCTTCCCCGCCCGCGCCGCCTGGATCTCTCTCGACACCCTCGTCGCCACCCTCACAGACACGGTCCTCGCCTTCACACGCCTCTCGTCGCTATGCTGTGCCCTCGACGAGCAGTCCAATAGGACCACGCCTGAAGATGCCGCCAAGCAGTTCGAGAAGAGGATCAAGGCCCTGTGTGCGAGGTTGAGATGGCATAATCTTTCGTATGCTATGATGATGACTATAGTCAACTGGTGAGTTAAGCGACGCAGCACACGGACCGCTAGATGAACAAGTGCATTGTTTTTGCTGACACGTGCAAAAAAGCCCGGGAGAAAAGGACGCAAAGAACAGTCGCGACGAGCTGGCGCATCGCGTGGCGAGACTTCTCACATTCAACGTCAACCTCTCTGCTCGATTACGACAGAGTCGCCCCGGATCCTCGGCTGCCAAGACAACGGGATCGGGCGCCCAGACCCCCGATAGCCCCGAGATCACCCCCGCCAATGTGGGGCACAGACCCGCCCCCTACTCCGGAACCCTCTCAAAGCTCACCACCCCGAAGGCTCTATCCAAGGTCATTCTGCCCATCGAGCTGAGGGAGCTGCGTGATGATTTTGAGTACTATACCGAGATGATCCCCTCCCAGACCGGAAGCTGCGAGTTTCCAACTGGTGGTGTCTTGATGGGAACTCCATATGATCTCGCTTCAGCTCGATGAGACCCATTATCAATCAGTAACTATCAATCTATCCCCAGTGGATCATCATCTTATTAGATGAAAACTTGCAAAGTCGGTGTTTAGGTGGGAAATAGTGCGAGACATTTCAGGCCATGTCTGGCTACGGAACCGGTTGGAGGGCTTAGACGGGCATTTTACCAAACGGATATTACGTGTAATGATGTTTTTTTTGTTTTCTTGCTTCGTTTCACTTGGAGTCGATTTAGCTAGGCATTTGCAATTTCAACGTAGAGATATCCATTCAAATTAATCAATCACCCATTACTCATTGTGCTGTGCTATGCTATGCTATTCTTGCTACTCGATCCTAATGAACAACTTACTCCCGTACTTAAATGTAGAGCTTGCTACCGTGGTACTTGGTCTTGTCAGAGTAACCCTGGACAGACGTCTCGATCTCTCGCTCGGGGAAACCCTTGAACGACTTGGCATATGTTGCGACGGAATGGGCGATGAGCTGTTCTGTGTTAGTGTCACGGTTTCTGAACAAGACATTGGCTGGGTGCGACTTACCTTGGTGTTCACCTCCCACGCGGTGTAATTCACATTGGTCAGATCATCCCCGATCTGGTGGTAGTTCTTATCATACCAGACACCGGCTTCACCGCCAAACATCTCTACCTCGTCTTCTGTCTTGACACCCTCGGCACCTGTGGCGATACCACCAGCGGGGATACCACCACGGATGAAACCATCGTAGTCACTGCGACCATCGAAGGGGATGAAGGTGTAGTTGAGGCCTTGCTCCTCGTACCAGTTGACATACAGATCGCGCAGCTCCTCTGAACCCTTGGGATTCTCGGCGTTGGTGGCGTTGTAGATCTGGTAGGCAAAGTTGGGGCTGGCCATCATGTCGTAGTCCATGAAGAGACGGATCTTGCGGTTCTCATCTTCAGGAAGAACGGAGACGTAGTGATCGGAGCCGAGAAGACCTTCTTCCTCGGCGGCCCACCAGGCGAAGCGGACGCAGTTGTTGACACGGTACTTGGTCAGCTGGACGGCAACCTCGAGCACAGAGATACTGCCGGATCCATCATCGTTGATACCAGGTCCCTCGGCAACACTGTCACTGTGACCGCCGAGCATAACACAGTTGTCGGGATCACCACCGCGAGTCTGGGCGATGATGTTAGTGGTGGAAATGGTCTTGACCTCAGCGTCGATGTAGGCAATAGCATCGACGGTCTCGCCATCCTTGAGCTTCTTGGCAACAGCCTTGCCCTCTTCACCGCCAAGACCAAACGTAGCAACATGGTCAGGCGAAGGGGTACCGAGAGTTCCATGAACCTCATCCTTCTCATAGTTATACACAACGGCAGCGACAGCACCCGCTTTACCAGCATTGCCGGACTTTGTGCCAAAGGGGCACGTTCCACGGAGGACGAGAGCAATGTTGCCCTTGACGGCCTCGGGATAATCGGACTCGTCGCATCCTTCGTTGTCGACGAGGACAAGCGTTCCGTGGACGGGCTCCTTGTTCTTAGTCGGAGGAGTCAGACCCATGGGGGATGCCTGCTTGGGAACAGAGTCGCCGATGACGAGACGCGACTCGAAGACATTGCCCGAGACAGCGGGGAATTGCTGGTTCGAGACGGAGTAGTAGCCGCCTAGCTTGGCGAGCTCAGCATGGATGTACGACAGCGTACCGAGATGGCCTTGAGAACAATCAGTCATTGCGTTCATGATAACAGTCCGATTTCGGAGAACGTACCTTCACTGCCGATGACACGAGTCGGATGTCCATACTCCTCCTCTCCATTCTTGGCAATCTCATACAGATTCTTTGCTCTAGCCTCAAGGTTCTCAGGCTTAATACTCTTCTGCAATTCCTTGGTATCTACCAGAGGAAGATCATCACCGAAGAGATTCCAAGAGAGCTTGGGGACTTGGAGGTTAAGAGGGATCTGAAGAGCTGACACGCCCTGGAGAGCGGCCGTGGCGGCGACTAAGCAAAGGCCCTTTGTCGTCATGTTGAGGTTTGTTATGGTGAAGGAGAGAGGGAGGAGGATGGAAGGGGAGGGTTCTGGTTAAGGCATGGACCTGACTGGAGCGCAGGTGATACAAGCCTGTGACGTGATGATGCTGGGACCTGGAGCTATAGGCTCCTAGCTCACTGTAGCTTAGCTTGGTTGCCCTGCCAGGAACCCGAGGCATTGCTTATCTTTGCCCTAGTCCCCGCGATTTGTCTCAGCTGTGTCTTGGCGATGATCGGCGATAGCTACCCTGGACTCTGATGGCACATTGAAGCGGATCTTGAATGAGAACAAGAGCTATGAGAAACTAACTGTTTGCTCCCATAGATGGATACTTACTGGTAAAATCCAGCTACTAGTTGCATTCACTTACTACAGGGATGTTCCTTTGTCGTCGGTATATCGAG